ACCCAATGGGGAAGATACCCTTTAACATGCAACTAGGTCCCCGAGTAGTGCCCTTTTGCCCTTTTTGGGGGAGGGTTCCCTACTAAAATAGACTACAGAAAAAAGGATACCCTTATTCTAACCTCTCTACTGGAGGAGGACCTAGGCCTCCAAACCCAACCAGGGTAAATGCTGAAATGGGACGTTTCTGCCTCTGCGAAGCTTGGTCTCCCGCTGAGGCTCCTTGGGTGGCGACATGGAGCTGGGCGGCTGGGGTCCCAAGGGAACTGTGCATGCCTGTGCGTGCTCGGGGCATGGTTTGCCTTCAATTTTTAGAAGAATTGAGCAAACTTTGGGATGAATTGTTTGGTCTGCCACTGAAAGTACCACGTGAGTGGCAGTCTGATACTCTTGTGGTATGATTCTCCACACTTGGAAGGGCCTTGTCCAACATGCTGGACATCGGCAGTTTTGCGTTTGGAGGTGACTTCGAGAACATATTTTTTTTGGCACAACAACTCTCGAGTTTGCGCAAGTCGAAATCACCATGTAGTCTCAATCACCGTGAGCGTTCACGTTGGCTCGGGCATCATTTTGTCACTGACGGCTTTGCACTCACGGAGGGTTTTTTGGCATCCCTCGCTCGCTCACAGCCAGAGAATAGACAAACGGCTTACGTGCTTCTGCGGAGAATGAAAGCGTGTCTCCAACATCCAACAGCCGGGTTGAAGCTGTTTCCAAAAATTGCTCATCGACTCATGTTTTCTTCTTTCCGAGCAACTGGGGCCTTTGATGAGGTGGATGACCACGAAAAAGCATTGGCCACGAAGTGTGACATCTTATATATCGGATGTTCATAGCAGTGCTTCGTAAATCTCGAGCCGACGCACTGTTGTTTGGGTGGGCAAAAACTATCAGGGGGGTTCTCTCAATTCCGTTTTGGCGTTGAAGTTTGCAGTAATTTTGTTCAGGGCTACCCACAAGTTTGCTGCCTCAAGCCTGCCTCTACTTGCAAGGTTCCACAATGCCTTGACCTTTCAACGACATGCTCAACCTTCGGATGCCTACGCCCATTTACATAGAAAGATATATATATATATATATATGGTACAGCGTTGCCAGCCCCCCCCCCCCACCAATGGTCATGGGTCAGACAAGTACCCCCCCCCCCCCCCCCTGTGGTTGTGGTCCTGTGGTTGGGTTGTGGTGGTTTGGGGTTGGTTTAGAATTAGTTTAGGGTATATTTAGGGTGTATTTAGGGTTGGTTTATGTTGATTTAGGGTTGGTTTAGGTTTAGAGGTGTACGGTTTAGGGCTTGGTTTAGGGTGTATTTAGGGTTGGTTTTGGGTTAGGTTTAGGGTTAGTTTAGGGTTGGTTTATGTTGATTTAGGGTTGGTTTAGGTTTAGAGGTCTACGGTTTAGGGTTTGGTTTAGGGTGTATTTAGGGTTCGTTTAGGGTTAGTTGAGGGTTGGTTTATGGTTGGTTGCGGGTTGGCTTGTCCATGCTTGTCCTGGGGTGGGGGTGCCGGGGTGTCGGGGTGCGAGTTCAGGGGGTCGGGGTGGGGGTGGGACCGTAGGTGACAGGATCCGGGGGCTCAGGGTCTCGGGCCCGGGGGGGGGGTCCTGGGGGACCCATACCATATGGGGGGCGGGGGGGGTAGCAACACGGAACACGGGACCATATATATAATATTGACAGAGGCGGTTCTGCATAAACACCTGTTTTCATATGTTGGGTCCAAACGGGCTTAAAACCCCGCACAACCCCCCGGACAAACCCCGGACAACCCTCCGGATAGCTTTGAGGGCGGGACAACTCCCCGGACAAAATCCCGGACAACCCTCCGGACAGCTTTGAGGGCCCAAAAGCCCGGGACAAACCCCCGGACAAACCCCCGGACAACCCTGCGGACAACCTTAAGGGCCCAAAAACCCGGGACAAACCTCCGGACAAGTCTTCGGACAGGTTTGGAACACACCAAAACCGCTCGGAAACCACGCGGAAACCACTCGGAAACCCACTCGGAAACCACTAGAACCCGCTCAAAACCACTCGGAAACCACTAGAACCTGCTCAAAACCACTCGGAAACCACTCAGGAATCACTCGGAGGGAAGTATTCTTGCCAGGGAGGGAGGTTGCAGCATAAATCTCGGCAAAGTGCGCGGACAACCCTCCGGACAACCCCCCGGACAACTTGCCGGACAGTTGTTTGTCCAGCAGTGGCACTTTGTCCCGCACTCTGTCCAGCATATCGAGGGGGGTGTTTGTGCAGATGGGCATTTGTCAAGAGAGAGAGAGATATATATATATATACATATCCACACCTACCAGCTCACGACATAAGACCATGTGCACAGCAGCTTTGAGACCTCGACCTGTGAATTGCAACTGGAGTAGGCGGTGCGCTTTTCTCCCTTTCCGCGCCAATAAGATGTTCTCTGAAAGATGCGCGCGTGCCATTTTGCTCTACATGTTTTCTTTGGATATTTAGATAGCGAGAGACTTTATACCAATCCTGCTGGGGCACATCATTCAGTTGGCGTCGTTTGGAGCATCGCTTTTTGGTGCTGGACCAGTTCAGACACCCTTGTGCACAGCAGTCTTACTGAATCACTCCAGCAGGCGTCAATCAGCCCAAAGTGCAGCTGCCCACGCCAAAGCAGAGAATTCAAGATTCTTTGCTTCTATGCATATTCCTTGTGTCCATTGCTTGACGTTTCCTTTTTAACACAACTTTACAACAACATTGGTACTTCACTGGAAGAAACTTTTGCCCACTGCAACTCTACTCGAACCTCACTCACCAACTCACCGACTCACCGACTCACCGACGCACCGACTCGCCGACTTGCCGACTCGCCGACTCGCCGCCCGCACGGAGGCTACCTGTCCAGCGCCAGTCGGCCTGCTGTGGAGAAGCCCAGCCAGGCCAGGGCAACTAGAGGTCGTGGTTGCGGTTGGGCGGTTGGGCGGTTGGGCGGTTGGGGGAGCAGAGTCGGTATATATATATATATATATATGTATATCTAGATAATTGTATGTATAATGCAGAAGCTAGACATGTACAAATGTTGGAAAAATACATTTTTGAGCTTCTTTTTCAACATACCCCAAGATTTGATTGTGGCCTGCCTGTCCTGCGTATTCTTTGCGTCTAGGGGGTGATATTGCCAGTGCTTCAAGCGTGCGGTGTGCGAACCCTGAGCCCGCCGAGCTTCGAGTTCCAGGGTGGTGAGACAGTGGTGAGATGGCTGGAGTGCGCCCATTCCAATTCTGACTCGGAGAGCGAGTGAGCGACCAAGCCATGGCCGTTGGGGCACTTGGCGACGCTTCCAGCTTTTCATCGGGTTTTCCGCTTGGATGGTGGACACTTTGACCTGGTTTAAACCACCTAGCAAATCCAGGTTGAAAATCGCTCTTACTATTTTCTGCCGCTCTCTCGTCAGGTTCGCATAGAAACTCCTGTACAGAGACAAGCTTTCCACGACGGGTGCGGGACCCAGGAGCGGGCACGCAGCGGCGTGATCGTAGACCTGTTATGCTACTGTTCCGCAATGTCTTGCACAGCGCACGATTTTGGTTCAATCGGGTTGATCAATTGCCAGTCTCTTTGTCTGGCTGGCTAGATCTTGATGCATGTCTCTGGGGGGCCGGTCGGTGCTTACTTCGGCCGTCAGGAGAAGACACGCCAAGGCATTTCTTGCCATCATTTAACTTTCAAAAGCTACTGTGGCGAGGCTGTTCCGACAGATGCTTGCAGCAGTGCAAGGGATGGAGGACTGCGTCGAAAAAAGCATTGGCGACCAACATGGCCAACCATACGCCTTGGCAATATATTGTCCCAGTGTGGCAATTGCACGACCCTGGTGAAGAAGGAACCTAGAAATTAATAAGCAGAGGTACTCACAGACGCACGCACAGGGTGATGGAAAGACACGTTGCTGAGAGAGAGGCTTGGGATGTGCTTCTCTATCGCCTTAGGGACCAGGGGTTTCCGTGAGGGACATCCTCAGTGTCAAGGGTATTGTTCATATTAATCAAACCCAGTTTATTCATACAAACCCAGGGACACCCCCCTATCAACAGAGGTTGATTAATATGGGGACAACATTATTTGCCGGAGCTTCCCAAAAAGGCGATCGACTGATCGGATCTCCGCTCTCGCGCCTTGGCTCGCGACCTGAGGGCCCCGCCCCCTGGCTACGAGCGGCCACGCTACGAAGAGCGAGGCGCAGCTGGGGAGGGCTTGTGCCTGTCGAACTAAAGCACCTGTGACCAATTTGCATTCCAACGATTCATATACAATGAGAAGGCCCATCATATCTTGCAACATTCTCTCAGCGTCGCATGGTTCTATTCACAACAAAGACATCTCAGACAGTATGAGTTCCTGAAAAAGGAGCTTCAAGCTACCTGCGATCATTTTGCTCGATGGCAGGCGGTTATGGGTCCGACCAGCAAGATCTAGTTGCGGTTTTTCCTGGAAGCCGACAGAACAGTTGGCATGGATTCTGCACGAGATGGTGGCTGTGCAGCTGCTTTTGGGGTAAACTGCACGCTTTCGGTCTTGAAGACTGGTGGAAAGCCAGAACATGTCCAGTCAATGTTTCTGTGATATACGCTGGCAGGGGAGCTTGTCAACTATATTTCACCACATGAATCTTTGCACGTTGTACTTTTTTCAGGCACTAACCGTTTTCCTAGTATCACCATCAGCATTGGGTTGTTTCGTATCCATTCTGCGTGATCAGGGAACAATTTGTGTCAGCCAAGAGAGACAGCCTACGATGTTTGATGGGCCGGACTGACAACCGACTTTCTTCTCCTGGCGCGTGACACTCCTTCGTCACTTGGGCGATCAACAATTTTCATAAAATCTATCTTGTGGATTCTGACAGCGATTGTAAGGGGTAATATTGTTTGTTCTGTGAACTTCGCCCTGTGCAAACCGGCCCTCTGGCACAAGCCCACTTCTGACCATTGCAGCCGACCGTTTTTTTTTTTTTTTTTTTTTTTGATTTTTCTATCTCTCTCTCTCTCTCTTGCTTTTTTTTCTAGTCTTGATTGTCCCTTCGCCCTTTGACTTGCTTTTTCAGGTCCAAGCCGAGAAGAGGCAAAGGGTGCTGGGTCGGGCGTCCCAGGCTGCTCTGGCCAGATGCGGGTCGTGAGGTGTGTGGAATAGAGCTTGCAAAGGGTGCTACTGGGAGGCGTTGCAGTAGGGCAAGACAGTCGGCAATGTGTGCGTGACAGTGACCATGGCAGCATTGGTAAGAAGAATGCACCAACACATATCGTGTCTTGGCAACTGCGGATCGAACGATTTGTCCGAGCACTTTTGAACACCATGTAAACCAGAGTAACCAGCAGGTACCAGACCAGCAGCATCCACTTATCAAGCTCGCCATTTCTACTGCCTATGTAACTGTTAACATAGCCGGCCCAGTCAAAATTGCCGGTTAACACCATCAGAGCCATCAAAAAGTTTCCGTCATTCAATCTGGACGTGGGTCAACCAGGTGGTCCATGAGGAGGTCGCAAAAGCATGGCTTACACTTGGTGATGTCACGCCAGGCTGGAAAAGCAACGAAATTCAGTTAACCTGGCTCTGCATCAACTTGCCAAAGGGCTACTGAAGGGTTTGTCCACAACAATACAAGACACCCTATTTGTGCGGGATGACAGCAACTCTGATCAATATTCAAGGGAAATCGGTTGACACCCTCCTCTTTATTTGCCCCGGTGCTGCATGGCCCCTCCAAGGCACCCTAGGCCCAGCGAGAAGGTGCAGGAGAGTTGGGGTGGGCTGGAAAGAAGAATTGACGGGAGAATTGGCGGCGGCCCCAACATGGGAATGCGGCACAGGGGTCAACATCTTTGCAGGTTGGAAAGGATAGCAACCGTTTAGAGGGGGTCCCAACGTCCTGAAATTCAGCCACTGACAGCCTTGCTTGATGATAAACAGCAGCAAGACGGACAGGCGTTGAATGAACTCCATGGAACTATGGCGCTTGGGTCTGCTTGTTCACAGGAGGGATTGTCCCCAAATTTTCGAAGTTTGCAGCAGGACGCCTCCACGGTCTTTGCCTGTTTTGCTGACTGTTTGTGCAGAGGTCTTCCTCAGCTTCAGGGCTCACCGCTGGTTCGAGCCCGGTCCAGAAGCTCCATGCTTGCGCGAATGGCGTATCAACTTGGAGCACAGCTGCTGGAGAGCCTACTGGCAGTTTGGCCCGCAGTAAACCTTTGATCTACCAACTGCATTAAGACCAGCATGAGGGGCCAACACATCGGACACCGGTCACTGCGTTCTTGACTCTGGTGCTCGCAGGAGCCCAGCCTACAAGGCAGACAGGCACAGGAGCCAGGGGTCAGGGCAGTGCACCAAGGGCACCCCGTCAAGTGGAGTTTGACCTGGGACCTTGTGTCTGGAATGGAGTCATTCAGAGGGAAGCCCGAAATTCTAAAGTCCAAGGCATGTAATGGGCGTGGACATTTCATTGGCAGTTTTACACAACGAACCAATCAATTCAGGGGGTCACATCTAGGCGATTGATGCAAGATGGAAGCGCGAGATCTTGATAGGATTCTGGCCCACTTGCGGTCATGTCGCCAATGCTAGGAGCGAAATGCTCAAGGATACGGCCCGCAAGGCTGGCTGGAAAAAAATGGGATGGAAGGGCGACATGCCAGTAGTGCCTTCGGAGATCTCGGCCCTCAAGCCAAGTTTTATATGATTGGCAGGCGTGTTTTCTCCTGAAGCAAGAGACCACGAGACCATCGTCTTGCTCTGGCTTGTTTCGATCCTGCAAACCTCTGAACGTCGCAAGCTCAGCTGGCTGGCAAGTGCCAAGCAGAACGACCGTCTACCTCCAAGCGAGGAAGGCCATGTCAAGATACTGCTTGCCCGATTGCAAAATCAAGCTTTGCATTTTGGTGCGAGAGTTGGCGCCTGACTTGGCGGGCCATCTGGTACCGCAGGCCCGTGGATTGGATTGCCCTAGATCCTTCGCTCCTTTGCTTCGCAGTCCTTTTTGCTCCGCCTTTTGGTTTTGTCGCCTCGCAGGTGAGGGCAAGGGCGTGCAGGCCCCAGACTCGGAGATCGGAGGTTGGGCACGGAGACTCGAGGCTTCCTGGAAAAAATGCTTCCTGCAAAGTTGCGAAAGAGGGAAGGGGTCGTTTGACCGCTCCGTGCTTGGCTTTGGCCTCTCTCGTGTTGCTTTGAACAGACCACTTAAAGCTGATGTCAGCCTTGGGCGAGCAGCGGCCTCTCGCTGAGCGAAAGGAACGTAGCTTCCAAATTGAGTGGTACACAGTTTTCGTTGCAGCTATGGGCGTGTCTTCATTTTTTGAGGGTATCCCTTTTTGGTTGGTGTTAAGAGCATCTTCGGGGTCCCCTAAACAAAGACACATTGTATGGAGAAGTGCGGAGTTTCCCCTTTTCGGCCATGGGCTTTTGGGCAAACCATCCAATGCATTTCACAGGGTTCCACTTTTGGACTACCCGGTTCCTCCCCGATAGACTGCAACTTAGGGGTTCTCCTTGTGAGGGAATGAACCACCCCTGGGTTTTTAAGTCTACCGTAGTCCAACAGTGCAACTCTGTTTCACCAAACAGGCAAGCTGTCCGGTTTTTTCGGGACCAAAGACCTCGCGGGGCCTGCCCTTCATTCCTTGCGTTTTGCTCAGCAAAAAGAGCAAAGGGGCTCGAGCAACCGGCCACTGCGCGCGTTTGGCTCATTGCCTAAAGACGTGTCTTCGATTCCGGTCCGGCTGCCGTTTTGCCCAGGCCGAGAAAGGCAGAGGCCTGCCCTGCAACCAACCCCAGGGCTTTTGATCGAGCGAATGCCCAGACTTCCTTCCGCGGATTGGGACAAGCAAGCCCAAAAAAAGGGGTGTGACCTGGACAGGTCGTCAAGCCTTCAGCACAGTTCAGGCAGCTTCTGAATGTCTACAGTTGTTACTTGTGAGTGTCAAGCCTTTGAGTGTTCCAAGGCAATGTGTAATGGTGTTTGGCGTTTGATACGCATTGTTAGGCAAGCACCGCCGGCACATGGCGTAAATCATTTGCCCAATATCAGGCATACAAGCGCCCGCTTCGAGCCAAACAGGGCCTCGGCGTTCAGACTGGAATGCTCAGAAAGGCGTTGCAAAAGACATCGCACATGTCGAGCGAGGCACCGCGAGGCACCGTATGTTGGGGTTGTGCTTAGCACAGAGATTGCTAGGGGTTGCACCTGCCTGCTGGACTCAGCAAGGTCGAGCAGGTTGTGAACTTGCAAGCATGCAGCTTTGCTTACTTGGGATCCAGCCAGGTTTTCAGGAAGTCTCGTGAGGCGGCGGCCCCACATACCTGTTACGTCCCCCGCCCCTTTCGAGGGTTGCCAGGCCGTGGAGGAAAGGGTGGGCAAAAACAGCCCCTCTACGAGGCGCGCGGGTCGCAGGCTTCGAACAGTCAAGTTCAGCATGACCATTCAGCAAAGACTTAAAGACGCTTAGCATGGGCTATGTTCTTTGCCAGATCCGCACATGCAGACAGCAGCCATGGATTATTCCGACAGAAGCCATGGATATTGAAGGATAGGAGGGAGGCTTTGAGCACACAACTGCTCCCCACCTCAAGCCCACCAATACGACTCTCAAAACAGCGAGCCGGTGACCATCTTTTTCAAAAAGCCAGGGTGAGCAGGAGTCCAGATTGGTGAACGAAAGCAAGACCTGAACTATAGCGAGCCTTGCTTTGGTTTTCATCACAACGTTTGTGAGACTAGACTGCCTTTCAGTGCAGTTGCCAGGAAGATGCTTCCAAGCTTACAGTGCTATCAGCGTGCCCCGTAGGATGCATGTTAATGCAAAGTGAAAGGACCAGAAGGGAAGTGCGCTTCTGCCGTCAAATTCATGAGCCAGGTCCTGAAACAACATAAGAAAGCTGAAGAAGCTATCGTCAAGCTGCGTGGCCGGCTGGTTTGGCATCCGGGCGAGGCTTCCATGAGGGGCAAACCGCATTCCAGAGCTTGCCGTTCACATCGTTGCTTCGGATCACAGATGGCAGCTTTTGGGCACCTAGATGTGTTTTGGCCCGGCAGATTGGTTGCATGCCCTGGCTTGAGGTGGCCCTTGCACAATGGCTATGATCTGAGTCTCTCTTGCTTGGTGGTTCTTAAGTTTTAGGACGAAGGTAACCGTAAACCCATCGCTTAACGGGATCTCTCAATATTTGTTTGTCCTATGGACAGAAAAAAGAAGGGACCAGCTTGACAGAGCAAACATTCGACCCAATGTTCCAAGTGAATCTGAATTTCAAGGGCTCCCAGAAGAATTGGAAACGGCCTGCATACCTTCCAAGGTGGCTTAGATGAGGTCAGCCAATTCTGAACGAAGCTGCCAAGGGTATGCGAGACAAAGGCATCCTGAGGTCTTGAGGAGAAGCCGTGTATCCAAAGCTCCGAGCCTTGCCACGCGGCGCTCCAGACCTAGGAACGTCGGAGAGCGAAAGCGCTGACAGCGATGCGTCGTGTGAGTCGCTAAGCTAAGGCAAGACTACCAGACACACTTGGTGACAACAATCTTGGAGATCTATTGCAAAAAGCTGACGCCTGTTAGTTCATGAGGCCACACTTCTATCCTGCTCCATGCTTGTGCTCAACATGCGATAGACAAACCACGGTGATTCGTTCGAGGCTCAATCTTCCAGCTTATCATTTTGGGCGCATTGTTTGCAGCTGTTCCAAGGGGGCACCTCACACCCATCACCACCTTCCAATGCGGAAAGGCACTTCCCACCAAGCATCAGAATCGATGGTTAGACAAGGTTACGGCCATGTTAGCGACGCCGCCTTTCTTTTGGTAAGGAGTACTGGCTTGCCTTAATTAGCGTGCTTTCCAACAACATTAACACCAAACTTCACTGGCCGAAGCAAGAACGAGAACTGTCCGTGAGTTGGGGTGGAAAAGAAGCGACGCTGCGCGGCGTGATCAACGCGATAGGTACCGTAAGGCCGAATGAGGAGCGCGGTCGCGCTTCTTGCAATGCGTCATGAGCGCGACCTGCTACTGGCCGAAGCTAGAGTTGGGTCTCTCCGCCCATCGTGCGCAACAAAGATAGGGGCACGTCAGCGCTGTGTCAAATGCACTCCTCGCGCACGAGTGATGCCGTATCACGCTTTCCAAAGACATGAGCGCGAATCGCTACTGGCCAAAATAAGAGCGAGTGCTGTCCGTGAGTTGGGTGAAAGAGAATTAACGCTGCGCTGATGTGATCAGCGCGACAAGAAAGGGCGAATGTAGGAGCGCTACTCCATTCGTTCTGAAGGCGAGCTGCTATTGGCTGAGTCTAGAGCGCAGTCTCTGCAGGAATCGGTCCCCCGAAGGAAGAAGTCACTATAGCTCTGGGAAACACGAAAAACGACTTCCCCATGGATTTGCGCCAGGATGCGGAGCCAGGGCTCTGCGAACATCAATTCGCACGAGCTAAGAGCCGCTTGGAATCAGCTCGCCGCAGCTAGCCATTGGTTTTGCCGAGAGTTTCTTGCGGGGATTGTTCACAATGTGTGTTGTGCTTTGGGTACAATAGTATTTGCTGCATGCAAACATGTGCAGGGAACCTTTATCGCGGTATCAAAGACACACAAGGTGCCCCGACAAGGAGATGGATGTGCATTGCTCTCAGGGATGGCAACAAAACACAAGCAAGAGATCTAAACTTGGATGCGAAGTGCACATTGTTGAAAGATGGATCTGCTCGTGATGGAATGGTTGCGAGAAAAGCGCACATCCAAGGCAATGAGCGAAAGCAATTTGCCGATCTACCACCTGTACCTGGACTTCACGAACTATTGTAGTTCAGGCCGCTTTCCAGCTGTGCCAGCTTCTCCTGATGTCTGTGGTGTCGAGTATGTGAGGGACATGGTTGCTGCTTGCAGGTATCTATGTGTGTCATGGGGTCCTCTGAAACTTGCTGCATTTGATGTGGCTTCTTGAATCTTGTAGGAGCGACAGGGTTTGCTCACAATTGAACCTTTCCAATGTTCCGGCGAGCGAGCTAGAGAAAGGGGAAGTCAGCCTTTTCCTGCGATCCTCTTGCAAGCTGAGTCAGGCCAAGGGGTTGACTGTATATCTGTTGAGAGGGGTCCCGAAATGTCCTTCATTTGGTTTCGCCGTTTTTCACTCGGCCCAGCCTTCCCCTTTCAGGTCAGAGTTTTGCGCAGATGAGCGACGAGCAGAACTGGGATGCCCTGCCGGGGCCCCCCAAATCGGGTTCTGGCGGTTTCTGTAGGCTGGCCTGTGCGTTCTGGCGCCAACGGGATGGGAACTGAAGTGCCTGGGATCGCTCGGAGCTGAAGACAATTGATTGATCCCGCAAAGCTTTTGATACATCCGTGGATTCACTTTCGCTTTTGCTGCGTCAAAACCATAACTGAACCATGGTTGCAGCAGGAGTCTGAGGGATCTTCTCGGTTTTTTTTCCCCCCCGAAAGCCTGGGGACGGGCTTGCACCTCCTTTTTTGCACAACGCCAGACCCCCGGCTAAGAAGCTCCCTCTTTCTTGCTCTCTCTCTCTCTCTCTGCCATCTGCTCGTGAGCCTTGAACCCAGGGCCAAAGCTTTGAAGAAGCAGTTCGAGAAGGACTTTGGCGCGGGCCGCCTCCCTAGATGTCTGCAGATTCCACAGATGGCCACTTGCTTGCTATTGATGTGCTCGCTCTCCCAATTTGCAACATCGCACAGGACGATATCAGAGTGGCTGTTTGCAGTACTACATCATAAAGCCCTCTAGGCACACAGTCATCCTCTGACTTTGATCCCAATGAGCTAGCATGTGGGATCGCGCCAACTTACGTTTTGCTTTGCGGGTTTGTTCAACTCCTGACTGACGTGAGAGGCCAGAACCAGCAGAAAGCATCGCAGCAGCGGCCAAACAACACGCCCGGGCCACGGCTGGCAAGGGACCCGACCCGCGGGGCGAGCCTTGGATGGCCACGCGAGCTCAAGATGAGTTGGACCGGATGGGGAGAAACCGAAGCCGGGCATTCTGTTGTGATGCCTTTCTGTCAGATCGCTTTTTGAGCTTTTGTGCCTCCTGTAAACCCTTTGACAGCAAAAGCTGTTTCTGGGCTCAAAACCCATGTTCCCTTGTGGTGCGTTTTTCTTATACCGCAGGCAAGATTACAATACAGTGCATTGCATTCACTGCACTACATCACATTCCAATCTAACCCATTCCATTGCATAACATTACAATACATTACATGCATTACATACACTGCATACGTTACATACATCACATATATTACATACATGACATACACGACATACATTACATACATTACATGCATTCCGTACATTACACACACACATTACATACATGATACATACTACATACATTATATACGGATAGATATATGTACATACACACGTACCATACAGTCATGCATGCATACATAAATGTAAATATACATATTATTATACACATACACATACACATACACATACACATACACATACACATACACATACACATACACA